GCTAGGGGATGTTCCCAACATATGACAAGATTAAGTACAGATAAAATAAAAGGTTTTAAAGCATGAGTAACTTTAGGGAGTGGGTTTCCTCCTCACACTTCAGCTAGGTGATGTTCCCAACATATGACAAGATTAAGTACAGATAAAATAAAAGGTTACAAAGCACGAGTAACTTTAGGGAGTGGGTTTCCTCCTCACACAGGTTACACAAAGTTAACTATCACACAGACAGATAAAGCAGATTAACCCATTTAACAAAATCACAGAACTTTTTTAAATTTATTTACCCTTTTAGTATTAGAAGTGATTATAAATTATCATCACTTTGTTTTTCATGTCACAGGTAGTTTATAGAAGGCTGAATTTGCTGTATTATGCACTGAATATGTTGTAAAGTCAGATGGCAAAATAAGCGGACTGTATTTTTGCATAGGTTTATGTACAGCTCTGCATACACCAAAAATTCTCTGCACAATTGTCATCAGAAGAGTAGAAAACATTTATGACTGAAACACCTATATATTTAAGTAATCTGTCACATTTTGAGCATCTTTATAATTTTTCCTTGAATTAAACATATTTAATTTGCATAGCTTTTCCTTTATGAAAAAAACAATGATAATTCAAAAATACTTTATATATCATCCTTGTTTGAGGCATGTCTGGCCAAAAAAAAGAACTTGTTTCCAAGGCTCCGGGTGGTTCCTCTTAAAAGCTTGGTGCAGAAACCCTTTCATAATTGCCTCACCATTCGTTCTATCTGTAAATATTTTTTTGGCTATGCCTGAACAAGGTAAGACAACTAACAGTAGCTTTTTCAAACAGACCACAGAATTGTACAAGTGACAATGCTGGTGTTGTGACAAACAATCACCACCTCTACAGCAGTAAGTGTCATTAGGAGTTTTAAAAACTGGGAAATTCTTTTTCTCTTACTGTAGTTTTTTTTCTTCTGGTGCTGATTTTCACTACTAGAATATTTCAAGATGAAATCAGTGTGATCACCATGGCCTACAAAACATTCACATTGGCACAAATTACAAAATGCTTTATAATCATTGCTTGACACTCCACAAACCTAAGCACTTTGAAATTTTGTTAATCTTTTGACCTATTTCTTAGGTGGTGTACAAGATGTGGTACCTGTACTTTGACATTGATCATCATATTTGTTTTCATATTCCATAGATGTAAAACTGAATTGTGATTTACTACTTTATTTTTAGTGATAAAAGAAAAAGTCAAAGCTTCAGATCTTTCATTGGATTTTTTACAAAAAATTGAAATGTTTTTTTTTACCAGATGTAACACAATGATTTTACAATTAAAAGCATGTTCTGAACGGGTGATTTTACTTGAAGCAAAAATAGTTCAAATAACTCGGCAACATCTACAACAAGTGACCAAAAACTATGTTTGAATAAGAAATGGCCAAAGATAAAGAAATTACCTGCTTTACTACACATCAGATTCACAACTGATCCATATATTAAGAACAAATAGCCAGAAGGTCACATTGTAAGAGCACCTGTATTATGTCTCAAACTCTCTGGAATAACAGTCACTGTTACAGCAAAGGAAACAAAAGATTTCACAAGAACTACTAGTTATATATCAAGATTGTGGGTTAAACCATGTCCTGCCACAGGTCAGAATTGGACATGAGAATCAGACTTAAAATTCAGTGTGTTCCACAATAATAGGGATGGTTGGGAACCAAAACACCATTTAACATTCAATTATTAAAATTTAATGTTATGGTTAAAAAGAGAATCGCAACACTTAAAAGCAGCTATCTAATCATGTATGTATTTATTTGACTAAAAGAAAACAGGTACAAAAATCTATGAAAAAGAAGACAATTTGGTTTGCCTTCAGTAAACATTGCAAGTATTTTGTATATAAAAATCAGGTTTTTCAGTTAAGTATTTTTACTCAAGATTTGTTAATGAACGTATGAAGTCAGAGTGTTGACAGCTTCAAGTTCAAAGTGATATTCATGTTAAGATTAAAAATAATTTTCTTCATTTGAACATCCTAAATCAGTATCAAATGTTTTTCTTCAGTAGAACTTTATATTTTATCTGTTATTTTCTCTATCCTAACTTTATATGAAATTGGTCAATTTGACCAATCTTGTAACAACCATAATAATAAATAAATAAATAAAAAAAGAAAGAGTTGTTTGTTATTAAGCACAAAGCTACAAAAAGGGCTATCTGTGCTCTGCCCACCACGGGTATCGAAACCTGGTTTCTAGCAGTACAAGCCTGCAAACATACCACTGTGCCACTATATTAAGGCTCAATATAGAAATTAACAATATGCATCTCAACATTAGTTTCCAAATTAACTCCACAATCTTAAAGTTTTTGAGGTACATAACGTAAAATATGACCTGTTGTATTATATTAAATTTTTTTTAAAATCTCTTGACTAAAATTTTACTTTAATCATTATCATTTCTTAACAGAAAAAAAACAAGTTTTTTTCTGCATATTACTAAGAAGGAATTTATCTCTAGAAATTTTAGGGCTTGTCACAAGTATAAATGAAGAATCTTACCATAAAACTTAGATTTCGCCAAAATGCTACCGCTGATACAGAAACCATCTTTTCTGTTTGTGACATAAAATGCAGAAACAGGTGGATGATGAGACACCTAAAAACAAAAGAAACCTAAAATAATATGGTCAAATAAAAATTGTCCTTATACCAAAGTTTTCTTCTCCAAAAATGAAATATGAGGAAATTAATAAACTTCTAAGCTGTCAGTATTGATTTTAACATACAGTTGACATACCCTTCAAAATACAAACCTGACTAGCAGGTTTGTTAAACCATGTACTAAATAAATGTAAACATTTTTCTTACACTCAAAATATATTTCTGATAGGTATCTCGATCTTCTTCTGCCCTCTAAGCATTGCTAAAAATTTTTTTGCGACCATCGCACCAGTCTATTTATCCATCAATTTGGCACCATTTTTTAATGTGTACATATCATGTGACTACTCTTCACTAATAGTACTGTGCTACCTATACACGTGCAGCTAGCTCCATCTGTAACACAAAGACAAAGGTTCAAAAGGAGAATGGGAAAGGCATAAAGGACCACAATGAGATCCCAATCAGGCAAATCAAAGGAACATGGAAGATGTATGACTCAAAAGGAGCAGAAAAGAAGGGAAATGATCTAGGAAGACAAAATCAGATGAAACAGAAGGTGTTCAACAAGGCCATCCAATAGTTAGACAAAGTAAAATTGGACAAGCCATTGTCAAACAACCAAGTGAAGAATTGGGAAAAATAATTAGGAATGAAAGGGTGACAAGAATGAAAACCACATTGAAGAGACCAAAGGCAGAAGGTATACCATCACAGATAGGGGGAAAGGACTAAACACAATGGACCTGACAAAAGCCATACAAGAATCCAGTGTGTGGTGACATCTGGAGGAACAATGTTTGACTGTGGTTGACAGAATAGGAATGAGACAAAGGTAATAGTAGTGAAAGTTGTACAAGTAAAGGCCGGAGCAGTGGGAATGATGGTGCACCAGCCAATACGGAGCCACAAGTAGGCTAAAACACAGAGTGGTTTGGAATAGGGATAGAATTCTGGAAAAGAGTTGAATAGGAGGGTAAGCATAGATGTGAAGACCCCTACAATTTTGACAGAATGCAGCCACACTCGGAGTTAGTGGCTGTGGAAAGAGAGACCAAATGGTGTTCCAGTGGGTGTCAAAGGCATATATGAGGTGTTCCCAGCTGAGAACACACTCACCTAAAGACCTGTAGGACAAGGGACTACTCTGTGAGTAGAATCTTGTTGGTAGAAGATAACTGATCCACAACCAGATTCAGGGAACCGGGAAAATGGCCCAGAAGGGACATCCAGGATCTGATAGCACAAAGACCTGGAATTGGTATCCTATTACCCTGTGATATAAATGATCACTGTGGAGATGTCGGAATGTACCATGACTACCCCCCCCCCCCCCCACGGAGAGGAAGGAAGTAGGATAGAGCTTGATAAACTGTCAAAGGCTTGAAATTGGTGATATGAAGAGAAGACTCCTTGATAGACCAGAAATCTCCCAGGAGTTGAGGTAAGAACCTCAACCCTCTAAAGATGAGTCCACTAACAGATGTAAATCTGGACAAGGTGGAGTAAGTGGCACCTCTGCCATGGTCTGGTCTGTGTTTAACCAAGCCCGGTCAGCTGTGATTGGTGAAGGAAGGGTAAAAGGTTGATCCAAGGGATTCAAGGAGAAGTTCCACTGACCTAGGAGTGTCCACTGAAGAGAATGCAAATGAGCCTGACCCATGGGAATGAGAGCTTCCAAGGAAGCCCACATCCTCAAAGAGACAGAACCTCTCAAGCCATAAAGAAATGCAAGGTGAGGGACTTGTGAACTGTCTGCTCCAAAGACAAAGGGGAAAGGCTGGGCCCAACTGAAATTGGAATGAAGAAACCCCCCAAATGAATGGGGTATTGAGTAGAGGTAAGATCAGACTTCCCCATTATCATCAGGAATCCCACCCATGTTGCTTCTTGTAGGAGCAGATTAGTGTGGTCTCTGGACTGTGAATGGGAAGAAGCAAGTAGGAGCTATTCATCCATAGAAAGAAGAGTGCAAAGACTCAGAGAGTGAAGATGTCAGGCAAGAGTTTATACACTGACAAAACACTAAAAGAGCTGAGGTTGGTGCGAATGTTAGGGCCCTGAACTGAAACACTTGAGTCAGAGCAATAAATAACTATCAACAATGTGGGCACTGTGGGGAAGAACCCAAAACTGTAGATTGCAAGGAGAAAATTAGGTTTCTAATATCAAGAACGTAAGAAACGGAGCAAAAGCAAAGCTCACCTCTACAAACGTGAAATGAACATGTCAATGATGAAACCAAGCAAAAAAAAGATTCAAGTCCTACAATCTCAAAAATTAGGATAAGACACGTAGTGAACAATGACGAAAAAAATTATTCAAATAGAACATTGAATGATATAATACGAGTAGTAATGATATGCAACTTACAAACAATTGTGCAAACGAACTAAGATTACAAAGAAAATACATTAATAATCAAAATCTGCCAAGTCTACAAAGTAAGTAATATTAACAAAGTGCAAAATTGATTAAATTTACCTAAATCAATAATCAATAATAATCAATATCTAACTTACAATTCATCTAAAGAATTTAAATGTCAAAGGACATATATATAAATAACAACCCAAAGACCGAGCACTGGTGACGTGAAATACTTAATCCTCCCCTGTGTAAATAAGGATAAAGCCATATAAGGGCATCTGAGCCATGCCTATCATGGGTATATCAACCAGACGTGAAAAAACTTATGACAGATTCCCTGGGAGAAATGGAAGCAATAGGAAGAAAGGAGGAGAAGAACAATTCTCCGCCAAAAATGAATGATATGGTGGCACGGCAACTGGTGGAAGGTGAAAATTCCTGAAGAGGTGTAGAGTGAGACAGGCCAAAATAAGAAGGTGACAGAAAAAGAGAATGCAAGTTGTTTTCTCATTGACTGTACTCTTCTTCAGAAACATTGTCATGTTGAAATGAAGAAGAAATTGCTGGCTGAAAATATAAATCTAGCTCCCTGCAAATTGAGGCCTGTACCTTCACTGCAGATAAAGTCAAACTAGATTCCTGAGAAGGTATACCAGTAGCATTTTCGACTGCAATGAGAATTTCCGTAGTGGATAAGTTGATCTCAAATACATATTAAAATCTCTTTTAATTCAGTAATAAGAATTAAATGCAAACACAGTAAAGTAAAACTACAGAAGAAATTGAAATGGCAAAAAAGCACATATATAAATGGTAGCCACATACGAAAAAAACATACATCTGAACAATGCAGTGCGAATCGAGAAAGTGAAGATTGAACAGGAATAGCAGAGAGAGCTAGCTGCACAAATAAATATAACTGAACAATACTACTGATGGAGAGTAGTCACATGATATGTACATGTTCAGAAATGGTGCCAAATTGATGGAGTACATAGACTGGTGCACCGATTTAAAAAAATGTATTAATAATGCTTAGATGGCAGAAGAAGATTGAGATAATTTTGTGTAAGACAAGGTAAGACTGTATCAGAAACAAACAAGTTGTGATTTTTGCTATTCCTCATGCAGTCTAACTTTCCAATTACCTCTACTCTCAATATCTTGAGTTTTGTTGTCTGTAACAAGAAACAGAGACTTATATTAAGTATCAAACTTTTATTCTTATCATCACTTGAAACTGCTGGTTATGCAATACCTTTTCTCATGTTTCATTACAGTCTTGTTGCAGAATGAAAAACAACAGGAAAAAAGTAATCAAAGCAAAATTAAGAGAATTTTTAACAACAACATTAAAATAAATACAAGATCAATAAATATACATGTTATTATTAATAACCTGTTCAGCGATGTAGAAGGTTCTGCTATCTTTTTCAAGGTTTATCCAGTAACATCGGAATGTTTCTCCAAGAATGGGATTATATGGTTTTTTCAATCCCTTAGGTTTCTTATAGAAACCTGATAAGTACCACTGTACAACTGTCTTCATTCTTGTGAATGGATCATCTTCTTGTACAGCTCTGTGTGAAAACGGTAATTGAAAACTATTTGTTATAATTATTATTGTTTGAAAAATAAAATTAACAACTTCTTGAAACTGTGTGCAGTATTGAGTTTATTTGTAAGGAATTCAAGAAACCTTGCCATAAGCCATTTTTATTTACCTTACACTTTCGAGTTGATAGTATATCTCAAAATTTGTAAAAAATACAAAAAAAAATTTTTTTGTTAAATCAATACCTTAAAAGTGAACAGTTATCTTGAACAAATTTACGTAAATGAAATAAATTATTTTTCTACTGACTGTGTCACTAGACTAAAATATACTTGGAATGTCACCAAGAGACTTTTTTTTGTCAGGAACTTTAACATGTGAAAAGATGTAAAATATGAAGAAAATATTTTGGTATTCTAATTAAATTGTATAAGTAACAAATAAAGCATTAATATAATAAGAACAAAGTGAAATAAGAGAACTTTTATAAACCCTACTTATACATTTCTGAAGTTAACATTTTCCTCACCTCAAAATTGTGCTTAGATAGATACTTGTCTCTCTGCACAACCTCCCACCCTTCATTCCCACTTCTAGTGTATATATATATTTTACCTCATCAAGGATAAGCCTTTGTTCCCATGTTAATAAGATGGTGGAAGGGCCAGTGGAGATAAAGAAATTACAAAGATGAGCACTTTTATGAAACTGTAGCATCTGAAAGGGAAAAACTTATATAGAGTGTCACCCACTACCGAGTTGTAGCTTAGTGGTACATCACTCTGAAGGAGACATGATACTTTTCATGCAGGGAATACTGTTCATCTAATACATTGTCAAAATAACCTTCTGCATGGTACTTAACACTTTTGTTATGGGCTCAGTCGAATCAACCGAGTTCATGACCCCAAATTAACCTTTAGAGTTTCCATACAATAACTTCCAATATTTTTTGTGTATCTTCACAAAATTTTGCAAGTTTTTAGTAAGCATTAAGTCTTTGTAGACAAAAAATCAGAATTTTTAATGAAGTATTTTCAGTGAAAATTTCTCCTTGAATATATCTATACATATATAGTCAAGGTGTTGACTGCTACAAGTGCAAAGTGATTTTCATGTTCAGATTAAAATTACTTTTCTTCAATTGAAAATTATTAAATTTCATTTGCATAATCTATAAAACCTCCTAAATAAATTTTGAACATTTATTTTCAGCAAAACCGTATATTTTATTTGTTATTTTCTGTACTCTAACTGTATATGAGGTTGGTGAATTTGACTGGCCTCGTAACCACCATAAAATATATGAAGTAAATTTGAATTACCTTTTTTTCTTTCTAGAATGACTTCAAATTGTAACATGAAATTACATTTGTTTATCCTAAATAGCTTAAAACTCTTAACAGTATACATCTGTTTATATTGAATTTTATTGTTTTTACTGTTCTTTGAACCATGTATAACTAATATTCCCTCCATACAAGTTGTAAATCACTAGGCAAACATGTAGCTCACGTTACCCTATCGAATTATATAATGCACAAGTCACTTGCATGTTGCTAGCAAGTGTACCTTGTGAAAATTTATAATTATTTTTCTTCATTTCTAATTTTTACATTTTAATTACTTTTATAATAACAAATAAATGAAAAACAAGAAATACAGTATTTACTTGTTTTTTTTTTTGCTGTCAACTGTCAATGAAACTTAAACCCTACTTTTTCATACTAATGGTATTACTGCATTAAATAATTTCTTGTTTAATTAAATAATGCATCTAAGAACACAAAATAACAACATGTAAAAACCAGACAATGCCGAAAACTATCACAATGTTTCTGGCTTTCTAACTATGCGACAAGAGTCATTAAAAAATTCTGCTAATCTTGTTGACATGTTTCCCGTGGGAATAAAGTTTAAACTCAAAACAAAATAGAAAAAATCTCTGTACAGAGAACAGCATGTCATTTGATAGATTAAGATTCTGCCTTTCTATTGATTATAAATAATAAGACAACTGGTAATTTGTGATAGAGATAATGTGACAGATGGGTGTGGCTAGAGGAGGCTGATTTTCTAGTTTATGGCTCTATAACCAAATAAGATTGAATGTCATAAAAATAATGCTTTGCCTGAATAATAATAATATTATAATGAGTACTTTACATTAAATTCCAAACTTCTCAGAGAGGTGGTAAATAAATTAGAGAAGAGGGTCTGCCTAGAGAGAAAATGTCACAATCCTCATACTAGGGAAAATTGATAAATTTTTTATATTGCCTTATAAAATTAAGAACTTAAAAACTTATATAATATTAACATTTTGATTATTAGCTAAGTTTTCACACCAAATTTATCCGTATATCATGATGATAAAGTACCTTAATTAAATGTTGAAAGTAACTCAAAAAACCTTGTGACACGCACAGAAAAGGATGCCCATATGGAAAGAGTTAAGTGTCGCAGAAGTGGGTGGAATGTAAGATTGCTCAACCAGCCCTTATCTCTCAGGTGGTGGGCTGAGTATGAAAGCATACTGTGGCTAGGAGAATAAGTCAGATTTTACCATAATGCAGAAATACTTATTAGAATAACTGAGGCAGGAAGAATATCTTCCAGACCTGCATCCCGAGTAGAATGTGACCCCTCTGGCTGGCCTAACCACCAGGAATAGCTTGGTTTGTAGTGTAGTGAAGTAGCCTGTACTACACTTTCAGTAACATTCCATCCCTAATTCCTATCAAGGGAGTGCATCCACTTAGTATTATACCAGTGGAATTACACCAACCAAATGGGGAAATCTAGAGGAAGAGGAATCCCATGGCAAGAAAACAAACTGTCAACAGCCAATAAAAAGTGCTTTAGGAATGAGATAACAAGGAACAGCCCATACAAAACAAAGAAACAAAATAATTGCACAGGAAGGGAGGTTGAATGGAAAAAACATCCAATCACACTCCCAGGCAGTCCACATTCTGGGGAGAAAGGAGTATCTGTGGTAACTAGTGCAAGAGGTGTCCAAGTGATGGCTCCCCCAAATGAGGGGAAGAAATTATAAAATGAGATTGGACCACTTTAGACACAGATCTGTAGAATCTGGGTTGGACACCAAAAGAGTGGAAAGTAGGTGTTAAGAGGAGTCTGAAAGGCAATGATGATTGAACTTCCACAGCAAATCCACTGAAAACACCAGAGGATAGAGAGACTACTATGTGGAAAGTATCCAGTCTAGGTGAGCTAGTAGATATGCCACTAGGGCCTGAACTTCTGAGACATAATAGACTGACAACCAAATGCAGATCTTGAGAAACAGTTCTTCTGGAAACTAAACTACAGAAATGGATCAGATGTCAATAATTGCATCCTACCTGAACAGAGGCACTGGTTGAGAGGTTTTGTTTGTAGGTCAGGTTTTCACTAAGCCCAAAGATACACAATGTATTACCTGTGCTATGTTTACCACTGGTATGAAAACCTGCATATGTAAACATTATAAGACTTCAGACTTACTGTTGAGCCCTAGGGAGCTTTGAACAGGTGCAAATCTAAGTGAGGTGGGGGAAGAGGAATGTTCAAGGTTGTGTGGGGTTATGTGAACTACCATGAGAACAAGAGGTAAAAAGAAGACAGTAGATCTCTGGACACATTTGTAAAGATTGGCCAGAATCTACTGACGGGGATCCACATGGGTGCATATTGAAGAAACAAAAGACTCAAAAGAAGAGACAGAGAGAGTTTCCAACAGAGACAAATCCTCTCATGCAGGGAATTAAGGAAACATGAGAGCCTTGGTACCAGAAACTCCATATCTCAAAGATGTCAAGGAAGAGGTTCAAAAAAAGACTCTCAAGTGAATGAGATATAGAGAATGGCCAAGACTGAATTTGAGAGCCAAATCAGTCACCCCAAATGAGACAACTCCTGAAGGAGAAGAGAGGTTGCAAGAGTGGAAGCCACACTGAATGGGTGAAGTAGGGGCCAAATATACAAATAGTAGTGAAACAGTAGACCTCATGAATGTAGCCTCCAAGAAAAAGCCAACTGGACCTGATGGAAAACATATGGGGCTGTATACAACTCAAATGGTAGGGCTGTGAATTGAGTGTTTGACCATTGTGGCCAAACCAAAAAATTAAAAGTTGTGCAGACAAATAAAGATCCAGAGAAAGTGCCTGAAACCTCAATATGGGTTATCAACATTCCCACTACAGAGGAAAAAAAAACATCTTGAACTGAAGAAAGACCAAAGCTTGTTCAAAGAAAACAAATCTGTGACAGGATGCCCACAAAGGCAAGAAGCAAAACCTCAGAATGGGGTCGAGGAATTGTTCTATGACATTCTAATCAGGTGAGATGGAAAGTGGAAGGACAGGGAAAAATCCTTGAGTAGCCTAGTGTCTGTGGCAAAAGAAGTCACAGGCAAATAAAGTGAAAGATCTGAGCTCTCACCAGACTGGATCCAAGGGCCAGCTCTAAAAAACAAGTTACCTTCGAGATCCCCTATGGCCAGCCTTCAGAGAGTGGTGATACTGACTAGAAACAAGAGGAATAGGATAGGGAGTGACCCCACAATGCTGTAGAGGATGAGAAACTTAGTGGGATCCCCTAGGTAAAAAAAAAAAAAGACAAAAAATCAAAGTGAATAGAGATGACTGCTGAAAAACTTCATCAGTTCAAAATTCCAAAGTATAAGAAATACCCCTAAAGAAAACTCACCATAAAGAAATAGAAGACTGAGGAACACAAATACCAGAAAGTAAGGCATCCTCACAAATTAATTCTCAGAAACAAAGAAACCAGATTAAATAGACACAATGGAAAAAAGAAAATTGAGGGCAAGCTGGTAAACAGGTAGGTGCAAGCTTCCCTAGTAAAACTGATAGAGTCATGATGTAAAGCCTCTAAAAGAAAGAGAAGTGCAGACAGATAGCAAAAATGTTGAGTAAGTAAGAGATGAAGACCAGTAGGTGGAGAGTTAGAAATAGAGAGAAATAGAAAGAACAAAAAAAGAGATTCCCAAGCTAAAAGAAGAAACTCAAGGTAAGCCAAGATTCAGCAAAAAAACACAAAAAAAAACAACAAGTGGAGAAATAGAAAACAAAAGACACATACCCGTGTCATTCATGCAGTGAAGAACAAAGGTGGTATTACCTAATCCTCATCAGGAAGAGGGAACTAGAAGCAAAAGCATGGGTGGAAACAACATGGGTGAAACACATCACAGATGGGGGCAGGCTCAGCTAAAGTAAAAGAAATAGGAGGCCAATAATCTTGGATGAGAATGCAACAACCATCTGGTGCACAATTGCAGTGATAGCACTGACTGTCAGAGTACCTCCAGTTACCATTACAGTACTGGATGACCCTGTTGAAGAATGTTAGAATCTTAAGAGATGTCAGAAATGAGGAAACAAGAATTGTAATTCATATCATACAGAAAACTGACTTATTATTATTATTTATATAGCAATAATTAGCCTGGTAAGATGATGGTGCATAGGTCTATGTCATTGCTCTAATGATGACACTGAAAAATACTTAACAAAACCTGTATACTGGGTTAAAACCACACGAAATAGCACTGTTAAAGAAACCTTATCATAGATAATGGGCCACATGTCCAAAATTTAATTAAAAGTAAAAATAAAATTAAAGATAATTCAAATAAAGGTTCCAGATGAGATGTGTAAAATTTGGTAATAAAAAAATAAGGAAAGAAAGACTACCCTGCGAATCACAATGAATGTTTAAAGTAATAAGCACAAAAATGCTATTAATTCCAAAGGAAAAAAGACATCTGAATAAATCTGTTTTTCTTCTAGTGCTAGTTTTCATGGGAATTACTGTTGCCCTTGTAACAGTGGAGGGCTATCGTCTAATGATGATTACCTCATAGGTTGGCATAGTACATGGTAATATGTGTAGGATGTGGGATTTTTGTTCAAGGCTTGTTGCGTGTGCAAAAATCATCATAGCAGTGGTGCGAGGTAATAGCCCTTTGTTGTGCAGAGAGGCAACTATACGTTTCTGAATTGGTTGTTTCATATACTACTCCTCTTTCAACTAGTACAATTATAATGAAAAACCACAACTACTAAGTACAAAATATCGCAGAATAACAATTCTTAAAATATTGGTCCTTACTTTTCAAAGTAATTTAACACTTAAATAATGACTTACTTAGCTAGAATGTCTGAATGATAATAGTAGTCAGATAATTTGTCCAGAAATGACCTTGGTTCTAGAATAAAGGTGGGTAGGACTACTCGAGAAAGATCCATTCCTGGTCTGACCTGCAAAACAAAATTAGCTTAGCTGACAAGGGATAAAATGCTTCGAGTTTCACAATCCTAAGTATGGTTTATTCTCTTCATGGGATTTGTTTCTTTGTGAATGAAATTGCATTTACTAAGTGTAATTAAGTATAAGTAGGTTACATTATTCAAGTTAGAAACAACATTAAAAAATGAAGTACTGAAAATGCACTACCAGCAGGTACGTATCAGGAAAAATACTCAGGTAGGAAACTATATGGCAGATTTCTATAAGAAAAACAAAGTATTGAAAACTGTACTAAATTGGGCAACTAATAAAACTTCAAAAATCTTATTTTAAAATTTTATGTACGTCAAAATCAAAAAATTATAAGAATGTTTATATGAAATTTGAGAATTATTTTGAAAAACCATCTAAGTCATATTCATGTATATATATATAATAGAATAAAAATTTAACATTTTGTAATTAATAAAACAAATTTTATCTACAGAAAATTACAGTACCTGCTTGACTAGAGTCCAAATAAGGCTTTTATTTTCTTCTTCTACCTCTTCAGTCTGACCAACATCCCCAGCCTAGACGGTAACAATTAATTTAAGTTTCCAAATACTTTATGTGAAATTATTGTTTGGTAAGCAAGACATGCTCTATCTCTCACTATTACAATAAACAAGACAAGCACTTTTAAAGCAGATATACACAAATGTTACTAAACCTTGAAAAAAAAAACAACGTTTTTTCAAAGTTACACTCTTCAGTATATCTTATCACTGTAATAAGAAAGAAAAAAAAGAGGTTAATTTATGGTTAATGAAAGTTTCTTTCTAAATGTATTCAAAAGACCAACATTGGTTTTTAAGTTATACAACCAAAAAGGATATATTTTTGTGAAAATTTCCAACAATGTTTATTATTGCTCCTCTTTAAGATGCAGTATTTTTTGCTGTAGTATACAACAGAAAATATCTGTTTATTACATCTTAAAGAGATGGAAAATGAGTGTATTAATATTCAAGAACAAATAAACTCAACTAGTAAAATGTACAAACTAATTTTCTATAATGAAAATGGAAATACTGGTTTTCTTAAGTAATGTGTCACAAAAATTAGTACAAAGTCACAATGACGATGGTAATATACTCCAAAGTTGTGCTTTATCACAGAAGGTATAGTAACAATTACATAACTTAATTTAGAATGATTCACTATGAAGTATAAATTAACTGGAGGAAATATTTTTACATATGAAGACATTAGTTCATAAGAAGTTTCAATTGCAACCTTCTTGGAAAACTTGGTCTCCCAAAATGTGTAAAACATGTGGGAATAGTGAGAGACACAGTGACTGGTGTATTGCTAAATTTCGTAGTGCCGAAACCCTGCCAAAATTTGTCAGACACGTGACATCACCATAAAGGTAAAGATCACAAAGGTTAACTTGAATACTTTTGGTCTATTTCAAATAAAGAAAATACACCCAACATTAATTATTTGAGACTACTTACATTAAAGCCATATTAAATACTAATATACTAGCAAGAGAAAATATGCATCTCAACCTCCTATAAATTAAGCAGCAAGGAAAAAACAACAACTGTGTACCAAATAAAAATCACCAACATTAAAACAAGTTTTAAAACCACGTATCTTAATAATGTACTATCTTTCTAACTGAATTTTATATTAACAACCTTGATTTTTATAATGACTTGCATACCTTCTACCCTGCCAACATGATTTGCTAAAAAAAAAAAGACTAATCTCTGGTTAAGCGTTTGGTTATGAAAGAAAATTTCAGGTGTAAATTGAATATTTTTTATTTTTTTTTTACATAAACAGTTTTAATTTTTGAAATGTCAGAGGACTCTGCTCCAATTTCAGGTGCCAGAGCAGAGCTCCAGTGCACTCCAGCAGCACTACACTCCTGGACATGGTGGAAGACATGCAACATTAAATGTATCAATATTAGGTGGAGTGCACTGCTTCACCCTTAAAAAGGTTCAGAGAAACTACTGGCATGGAATGATGCTGTCTCCAGGTTTAGTTACATTCAGAAATGGCACCACAGGTCTCTGTAACATGAGTTGCTACACATTTCTCCATCAAAACAGGAACTTGGCACTTTTTGTCATGGTTAACATTGCAAAAATATTCTGTGAACTGGTGGCACAAACACAAATTTTTGGTGGCATACTTTGAAGCTTCATCTGTGAAACCAACGAATTCAGTCTCTGACAGTTAGCCACAGATATACAAGACTTACACTTCTGTAGAGATGCTGAAGTTTTCTTTGTGTTGATGGATGGAGATGGTGAAGGTGTCTACAGAAATCTCAAAATTGATAGTAATAGTAGTCAGTATGTTCCATTGAAAGTTTGAGCTTTTTATTCTTGCTTTTAACTATATTTAATAAGTTATTGTGCATGTTTGAAATGTTGAAGTCATCAACTTGTTATTTTTTAGAAGTAGTAGTAGTCTTGACCTAAGTATCGTCAGCTACACTGAGAATGCCACTCAAAACCGAATGCGAGGCAAATACCCACAAAATGCATTGTAGAATCAAAAGCTTATCCTATAACACCCAAGTACATCATACTTTAGAAATCTTTAAGACCACGTAACTCTGAATGAATACAGGAACCCAGACACGAAAAAACAAATGTAAGCAAAAACATCAACAGAAACATTGTTTACTGTAAATTCAAATTGATCATTTACACAACCAAAAAAGCATAACCAAGAGGAAATGAGGATATAGTTGCATCCACTGGAGTTCAGAAAGTCATGGATTTGTAGTGACCTGGTCCTCCACCTTCAACTCAAAAAAAAAGCATAAAATTGTGAACACCCAGAACAAATATATCCCACAGAAATGTTTGTTATTTAGTAATAGGAGAAACAGTGATGGCAATTGTCAGTAAATGTGTACCTACTACTTCATAAAATTAATATATCACCTGGGAGCATATGTCTGGGAAATACAAACAAGAAGAAGTACAGAAATGTAACAGAATAAACTTCTTTTAAATAGTACAGTGTAAGAGTCACATCAATAGTGAATTTTCATAATCCTGGAGTTTTAAGTAATGATCACTACTGCAATCTCATTTGAATTATGACAAAAGGAAAAAAAAGTTCTATCAGCTTTCAACATGCCTAAAAAACATACAATCTTCCTAAAATCCAATACATGTCTGATACTGCTGTTGGCAAAGTTAAAAACATGCATGTCAGACACTGCTCTTGGTAAAGCTAAAAACACACACGTCAGAAACTGCTGTTAGCAAAGCTAAAAACACACATGTCAGACACTGCTGTTAACAAGGCTAAAAACATGCATGTCAGACACTGCTGTTAACAAAGCTAAAAACATGCATGTCAGACACTGCTGTTAACAAATCTAAAAACATGCATGTTAGACACTGCTGTTAACAAAGCTAAAAACATGCATGCCAGACACTGCTGTTAACAAAGCTAAAAACACGCATGTCAGACACTGCTGTTAACAAAACTAAAAACACACATGTCAGATGGTGCTGTTACCAAAACTAAAACAGGTGGGTTAGACAGTGCTGTTAGAGCAAAGCTATAAAAAGCATGTTTGTGAAGGAACTATTCCAAATAAGTGATTCCACCTCAGTTGTATTTGCAATCAAGAAATAACAAAAAAAAAGTTCATACATAAGCAGCTTTGTTCCCCAGTACCTTGGATTTTAACACATATGATGACAGACTTGCATCTTAAAACACACAAGCCCATTTGCTCTGGAGTTATTTGCGGGTACTTAAATACAGCTGTTCTTGTTATTGATGATGAATATGTCTAACCCAGATATTTAGTGAAGCCAATTAATGGTCATGGATAATTGTCAGTATCTGGATGATGACAAGAACAACGATACCAGAATAATACCATCACACAATCTAGAAAATGGTTTTGAAGTAATTTATTTTTTGCCTACCAGGATTTCTGCAACAGTATTCTTGTAAAATAAAGGTTTGAGAACTAAGATAACAGATCATTTCAAAGAGAAAAAACAACATTCAACAGGTGATTTAAAAACATAGTCTTGAATAAAGAATGTTTAAATAATAAATCCTTTATATGGGAGATTACATGAAAATAATTTTTACATTGTGTAGTGCATTCTGGCCAACAACAATCTTAGGTACTCCATTCTTGACTAACATCTTTACTACTAAGTCTTCCTGTACAGAATACATATTAATGAAGTACATATTCAGCCATCAATGACACACTCCAGCAAGCCCTCGATGACAGCTGTGCCAAGATCGTGCTCTCACTGAGATCTTTATCATCATGATGTCATCACCAAGCTCTCACTAAGGTCTGTGTTATTGTGACATATACACTAACCATCTTGATATCAACAGATCTGAAGACAAGTTACAAAAATTATCTAGAATGTTGTCACCCATCAGTCATCTAGTCCAGAGGATTAAGTGTCTCCAAGGCTGTTAGAGTCCATAATTCACCTTCTGTTATCTCATATTTATTGGAATTGAGGTAAGATGACACAAATTGTGAAAAATAACTATATTTTGATTTAAGAAATAAAATGGAACCTTTTAAAACTTTATGGTGTGTATTTTTACAAAAATCACAATATATTTAATAATGAAAGTTGTTTAACAGTACAAAAATTTTAAAATGATATACCTTCTTAATTATAGATGATTGAAAATGAGCAGAAAATTGTAATTAGTTAAATGATCCTCAGGTATACAGTTTTACAGGTATCAGTGCCAATACATAAGTGTTTAGGTCAGTTTTAAAATAGAATTTCTACATGTAAAGTACTTGATTTGAGGCTAGTTGTTTGAAATTCAATCATAAAATATACATAAATAAAAGGAACTTTATAAAAACTTAAATATCTACAGCAGAAAAAAATGTTACTGTTATTTTGTTTTGTTTGTTGAATTTTATGCAAAAGCTACTTGAAAGCTATTTATATTAGCCATCCTTGATTTTGAAGTTACAGACTAGAGAAAAGGCTGCTAATCAACACCACCACCATTCCAATTCTTGACGTACGCTAATCAAATACAGGCATAACACCAATTTTCCAGCACCCTTGGTTCCAGAGCCTTGCCAGATTATCCATTTTGCAGGACCAACAGAGGTCACGTAATAATAATAATAATTCAACAATACACTTCTGACCCACTAATTATACTGCTCCTGTGTCTCTAAAGCACCATGGACTGCTAGAAACTTACATTAGTACAGGTATAAATGATACAGGTTTATTAATTACTGTACTTACAAACAATGTTACATTAGTACCACTTCCAAAGTGGCAAATTTTAGGATTTTACTGGAAGTGTAGAGATAATCACAAAGGTCTGGAAGTTGAGGGCTGTCAGGATTACTGTCTGTTTCATAGTAGATTGTTTCATCATGGATTTGTGATGTTGCAGGGGGGAACACTTGAAGTTGAAGCCACAGAATTATCGGATGTAGGCCTACTGCTCTGACACACATTCTTCTTGCCTATGTTTTTAAACATTTCATCCAATCAAAGTTGTTTTATTTGCTTTAATCTTTCCCTGTGTAATTTTTCATACAACAAATGAAGAGTCATTAGCTCTTGTTTCGTGAAAAAGGTACGTTGCTCTATCCCACTGATTAATTCACCTGTCAACTCAATTAAAGAGTGACATACTTCTACTTAAAATGTAAGTAGCCCATCCCGAAAGTGTGGGCGCCACATGCAATTCCATATCTGTGGCCACCCAGGTGGTCGTGGAAATTTCAAGTGCACTCTCACTGTCTGGATTAAAGAAGGTGCCGGACCATTAGTTGCCAGAAAATCGGTGGTGTACTGTAATGGGATTTGACCACTACTCTTATAATGCACCAAAAGCTTGACATACATTAATCAAATAATGGTATTTGACCATCACTCTTATAATGCACCAAAAAGCTTGATGTACATTAATCAAATAATGGGATTTGACCATCACTCTTATAATGCACCAAAAGCTTGACGTACACTAATCAAATAATGGTATTTGACCACCACTCTTATAATGCACCAAAAAGCTTCATGTACATTAATCAAATAATGGTACTTGACCACCACTCTTATAATGCACCAAAAGCTTGATGTACATTAATCAAATAATGGGATTTGACCACCACTCTTATAATGCACCAAAAGCTTGACATACACTAATCAAATAATGAGATCTGACCACCACTTTTATGATGCACCAAAAGTTTGAAGGATATATTTTATTTGGTATTAATGTGCACAAACTACCAAACTGCAGATCCACAATCCAGCACTCTAGCCATTGCACCGTGCTAGGCCCAAGAGTAGGATCATTTTTTAGTTTCACTGAAAAAATTGAAGGTCTAAAATAGTTTACTCCTGGATCAGAGTTAATGATATAAGCATGAACTTTATTCAAAAAGGCAATCTAACAGTTTTTTTTTCATCTCTATAGACTGCTTTAAATGAAAAACCAATTTTCATTCCGAGAGAACCATGTCAATAACATAAAAGTCAGGTTAGTTGAAATGGAAATATGAAAAGAATAACAATTCTTCAGTTACATGTTGTTTACAAATTGTCATGTTAGTTAACGTAATGAAATCAATAATTAAAATTTATAGTCCCTTCAAAGCATTAATGCTTTGAGAGACTGTGAAATAGGCATATGTGCATTTTAACTTATCAGTCAAATTATTAACAGATATGTTCTATATTATACTTCGGTTTATGTTTTAAAGTATTAACTCCAATAATTTCTTAGTTGTATCTTTTAGGCTAATGGCTTGTTTTGAATTTCACGCAAAGCTACACAAGGGCTATCTGCACTAGCCATACCTAATTTAGCAGTGTAAGACTAGAGGGAAGGCAGCTAGTCATCACCACTCACCACCAACTCTTGGGCTACTCTTTTACCAACAAATAGTGGGATTGACCATCACATTATAACGCCCCCACGGCTGAAAGGGCAAGCATGTTTGGTGGGAAGGGGATTCGAACCCGCGACCCGCAGATTGCGAGTCGAGTGCCCTAACCACCTGGCCATATTAAGCTAATGTTCTGGTTTTTATTACTACTTTTACCTTTAATCTCTTATTCTTCTGAATCTGCTATGCGTACCTTAGTTCAACTTGGTTAATTCTTATCTTGTTAAAAGTAAGACACAATATTATGTCAATTACTTTTCTTTTATGTTACATGACTCAGCTGAAAGCAGGGACCAGTAGCAAAGTAATTAGAGTAATTACAATTTTCAGTTTAATAATGGTAGAACAAGTTTTCTTTAAATATGATAAATTCAGTTTATCATTAAATAAAACAATAATGAGAGTGATTTTTACCAAATTCAACTTTGTTATAAGTAGAGCTCGGCAATTAATGGAATTTGATAATCGATTATTCATCACTTTCATTAATCAATTATATTCAACTGATTGATTACTCTCAAAGACATAGACAGTTGGAATAATCAAAAATAGTGCAATTGGACACACTTTGATGACTTGGTTATTTTTGTGTCATGACTCTAATCCATTAAGCTAAACAGTAATAATCAGAAACAGCCTAATAATCAGCCTAAATAAAGTTTGATTTGAAAACAACTTATTATACATCTCTGCCTCATCATTCGGGTTGTTCTTTAATAACAAATACTTCTCTTAACACAGTAAGTACTGGTGTGTCTAAATCCATGGTACTCTCTCATTTATCATGTTCAAACACACTTTCAGCAAGGTTGTACCCTCTGATCCCTTGAGGTTGACCATGGTAAATTAGTCAGGAGAACAAGAGGGGATTGAAACTTGGGTGCATTAGAACTTTTAAGATCGACAGTATACCTACTTGGTATTGTGATGTCACATCTTGAGTCACAAATCAGACATATGACATGAAAATTTGATTGAGGATAGTATGTAAAGGGTTGTTTGAGTTTGATTGAGGATAGTATGTAAAGGGTTGTTTGAATTTGATTGATGGTTGTTTGAGTTTGATTGAGGGTAGTATGTAAAGGGTTGTTTGAGTTTGAGGATAGTATGTAAAGGGTTGTTTGAGTTTGATTAAGGGTTGTTTGAATTTGATTGACGGTTGTTTGAGTTTTATTGAGGGTAGTATGTAAAGGGTTGTTTGACTGCCCCTTCAAGTGTATAAGATTCTCAAGAAATTATGCAACCCTCCAATAAAATTAGACTACATCAAGTAATAGTATTTTATTACACACACAATGAAAACATTTCATAACTTATTATATGATTTATGTATTCTTAATCATTCATAAGACCTTTTATAACTTATAGATTCATACAAATTTCTGTACTGTTACATTTGTTGTGGGATTTTCAAATTATATCAACACAGTTTTTAGTATTAATTGTGATCTTATTTCATTGCAGTGCAGTGTTTAAAAGAATGTGTACTGAAAATAACATTTTATTCAGATGACAAAATTCAAAACATTTCAAGGACAAAAAAAAGTAGTATTTTGTATAATGACCTCAATAATTCTATCATTTAAAACACAATTACTTTAATAATGTTTAAAAGTACCAAAATAACACTATTTATACCAATTTGACAAAATCAATATTTTTAGAACAATACAAAGGATGCTAATTTGTTCACGAGCTACTGAAATGCAGTAAAATATCTTACACTTTGATGTACTTTGAAGAATAAATGAATTTTTTTGCATTATTAAAATATTCTTAACTGAACACATAAGAACAGAGCAATAATTATATTACAGTTGAAACATGTACCTTTGAATTATGTCAAAAGTTAACATCCCATTATTTGAATTCTATTTCTTAATTTTTTCAAAATTTTACATTTTCTATTGAATGAACTTAAGTTCTGATTTAACCAGAATTATTAAATTATTTTGGACTTAGACTTTGACAACAATTACTGTGTGATAAAACTGAATTACAAGTCCAGTCTACATCATTACTGTGAAGTTCCATTAAAAATGTTAAGTTTTAGTAAATAAAAGCTTACAGCTCCAAATTCTTCACTTCCATTCTCTACATAGACAGTTTCCACTGGCTCCACATCAAGGTTTTCTTCAACATCTGAGTCAGACTCTGAGGAATGAACACTGTGTGTGCCATTACCTTCCCGATTCTCATCCGTATGGATGTCATCTTCAAGATCTGGGACGGTGGAAACAGAGGGAGGGGTTATGTAGGAGTCTGGTTTATGGGTAAAGCTGCTGGTCTGCTCACTAGCTGAGTGTGAAATCTGTGTATGTGTAGTGTAAAGCATGCCTGGTGAAGGTAATTCTTTTATTTTTGATGAAGTGGGACCTGAACTGTATTTCGGGATGGAAATACTTATCTCTGACTGTTCATTGACTACATGCTCATTACCATTATTTCCATAAATAACATTTTCATTTTCTACGTGTTGATTCAGTGCAAGTGATATCAATTTCATGCTTCCATCACTAGCTTTTCTGAGGACAAGTTGCTGATGGTACTGATGACACATACAAACACAAGGATAGAATGAAGTTGGTGATGGGCAAGAGGAAGCCTTAACACTTTTAAAGCAGTAATTAAAGGGAGATAAATATGGGCTAAAGGCAGTGTTAGCAGAGGATGGGCTGAAGTTAGGAGATCTGGAGGAGCCTAGTTCCTCTCCTGGTGGCATGCAGTATAAACAAAAGGAAAATATATGTTAGTAAGAATTTTATCATTACATAAGTCTTAGTCCATTTCAATAACTGAATCATTCTTGCCATGCAGGACATACAGAAAAGAAATAAAGATTAGTACTTGTATTAATTTTGAGATACATCTTTTTTTTTTATCAAATATCTAAATTAGAGTATGCAGACTACCCATACTAATGCTACACACAATGCTGTCTAGATTCTACTTGCAACACTATTAAATGAAAGGAATGCTGAACATATGTAATGGTGATGATGCTTGTAGACTGCATGCTACACGTAATGCTTTTTTATGCCCCTAGCCCAGAGTTTAATGGAAAACAACTGTTATTGTTTTGGGAAATATACAGAATATTAAGACTTAATTAAAAATTCATGGATATATAAATCTTAAGTTTGATTTCTCTGATCTGCAATAAAGTGATTTACCATAAAGCAGGGTACACTGAATTTTACTTCATTTTGCCTTCAATTCATTATTTCTGGAATATTCTTAAAAAAATAAAACATTATAGAGGGTGAGTTTTGGTAAGTGACCAAGAAACTATTTAACTTACTAAGCAATCTACATTTATATTACATAAATAAGCTGTTATTTTGGAAGACAATGATTGAGATTGAAAATGGAAGTTGTACCTAGAATAACTGGGTTCAAATTGCTAAAAAAGATACCAAAAATTAAAATTATTTTACTTTCATTAGATTTTTTTTTAAAAACTTTACATAAAGGTTAACAAAAAGCTTGACACAAAAAAAAAAGGTTACAAAATTTAACTTTTAGGACACTAAAATGATCATCTGATTTTCAAAAGGATAGATATGATCTTAAGAATGTTTTTTTTTTCCCAACAATATGTAGTAAGTTAAAATAACCTCTTGCTTAATATGCTGGATGTATGATGGCAAATACTTTAAATTCTGCCTCTGATTGGTACTACTTATAAGCTGATTCAAAATGTTTGAAGCATCACAATATTTCCTTGAGTCAAAAACTAAATTTAATTAAAACGTATAATTTTTAACCATTTTTTACACAATTATTTTGCAATTCTTAGGTATATAATCAATGAACTTCAGTTAAAGGAATTATTACATTTCAAATGAAATTAATAAAACGAGACATCAACATTTTTTACTTACACAATAATAATGTATTGAATTATTACATTATATTTCTTGCACATACATTAATGTAAAAAGAAACTACAGCAAAATACAGATTAAATGTCTGGTCAATATGACAACTCTTAACTGATAGAAATTAAACATCTTCTGAGTTTGTGCATCAACCTAAGCTCACATACACAACTAGAACTAATATTTCATGATGAAATTAATTTTTCAAAATATCAAGTTCTATGATTCTTTTATTCCTATAAGCTTTAAACACAAAGGCTGAAAGTCTGAATCAGTGGAAGTAACAAGACTGGAAAGAATGCAGATAAGTCTAGAAAAACACACAGAACACTTTTCAACCTGATGGCAGAAATCTGATACATGATAAATTTTACATAGATTTGCAAAGGACTAATAAAAAAATATTTTTTTGTCAATATTGTAACTACATGTCAGCTCTTAGAACCAAAAACAAAGAAAAAATATGAAGTTAAAATATAGCATTTGTGTTTGTTAATTGTTAAATGTAATTAGTGTGAACTTGTGATATGAACTTTAAGTGTGATAGCTATATTCAAATAGCCAAGCATAACACAGCTAAAATTGGGATATAGATATATAAAAACATTTATTGACATTTTGCCAGAGTTAACTTGCCATCAACCATGCTGTCTGGCATGATGATGAGCAAAAGGAAAAAAAAGCTGGAGGTCTGGGACCCACAGATCCTCAGCCAGATGCAGGGTGAAGACCATTGGAATGGAGGGAAGAGAAAAATTAACAGCTTAAAATAAAAACAATATAGTTTCCAATAACCACTGAAAGTTACATCGTTTTTCTATTTATGTCCACTGAAAACAATTTTTTACACCTTGTCGAATTATTTGACTCTAGCCCCATTGTTTGTTTTGATACTTTTTTGCCATTACTACTTCCCAATTTGCCACCTTGAAGTATGTTTTCCTACTGCCTTTGCAATGATGCATGCATCTAATATGTGTGTAAAATGTCAGCCATTGGATATCATCATATGGGGCAACCAAATAAATTTCATTTTAATGACACTCACCTTAATCTAAACATTTGACAAGTACTATACTTGGTGTGCCAGAAAAATGGAAAGTGCAACATGATCCAGTCATGTCTCACATGCATCATACTTATCGAGCAGTTGTTTGATGATCTATATTACTAACTCCCCCCCCCCCCCCAACTTGTTCTCCTCATCCTGGTTGACATAAGTTAAATCACTATTTTATCAAGTTATGGAATTCAGTAGGCCACTTCAACAGCATTACCGAAATGAAAAATCAACAGACTACGAGAAAAATGTATAATAGGAGTTATATCATCTACAGTTTGAAATAATTTATAAAGTGAATGAATGGAATCGTGAACCTAGTTTTTTTACTACTCATTTTACCCTATGTACACACAGAGTCGGTCCATTTAACCTAGTCTATATTGGACAATTAAATTACTTACTGTATCTTCACAAAATTTGAAAAAAATTACTTCATAAACATTAAAAATAATTTTGTAAATCAACAAGAACTTTTGATTAAGTATTTTTATGAAAGATTTGTCTCTGAATTACTTTAGTCAGTCTGACTCAGAATATGATTAGTCTGAGCACAAGGTGATTTTCTTGTTAGAATTAAAAATACTTCTTTTCATCTTACGGTTTCCAAATTCCATTTGAACACTCTAGAACCTCCTAAATGAATATCAAGTATTTTTAGTAATATTTTAAAATAAAATAAATCTAAA